GCCCCACCCATCCTCTCCCTCCCCTGGCCCCCGTCCGAAAGGCCCCATCCCCATCCTCTCCCCCTCCTCGGCCCCCGCCGTCCGAAGGCCCATCCCATCTCTTTCCCTCCCTGGGTCCCCGCATCCGAAGGCCCCATCCCATCCTTCCCCTCCCTCGGCTCCCCGTCCGACAGGGCCACCCATCCCAGCCTCTCCCCTCCCTCGGGCCCCCCCCGTCCGAAGGCCCCATCCTCCCCTCCCTCCCTGGGCCCCCCGTCCGAAGGCCCATCCATCTCCCTCCCATCGGCCCCACCGTCCAAGGCCCTCTCCTCCCCGCTCGAGGTCCCTCTCTCCTCCTCCGCAGCCCGAAACCCTCCTTCCCACCCCGCTCCCCCAACACAAGAAGAGCAGCAGCTACATTCAAGTTCTATTTTACTTGGTTCGGAAGCGCTCGCCCACTGGGAATATTCCTGTCCAGGGGCTTTCCAGGCCGGCCGTTAGGCGTGGGGCCGAATGCGGAGGCCCGGAGCGGGGGCGCGGCGGCCAGACCGGAGGCGCGTAGGCGGGTGGGACAGCGGGACGCGGGCGGGTGCGGACGCACGGCCCTGGAGAGGTGCGCAGGCGTGTCGGGGGCGAGAGCAGGGGGCGGAGGAGGGGTCACAATTTCTCTGACTGGGCCCCGTCTCGGCTCTGGAGGAGGGCTGGGGACCGGGGAGGGCTTCGCAGCGCCTGGCCTCCCAGTCACTCGCCCCTCCAGGGAGCCCGAGCACCGACCAGGGCGCACCTCCAGGGCCCAGGGCGCGCGGCCAGAGCGGGCGCGCGGGAAGTTGGTGCAAAGAATCTGAGTCTCGTGACAGATCCCGACCCTCCGGTGGGCTTTGGCGCTGACCCACTAGCTCGCCCCGCACCTGCTGCCAGCACGCTTTCCCCGCCGCTCCCAGCCGGGGCTGTTCCTTGGCCCTTCCTACTCCAGCGGGTAGGAGCCGCTTCGGCTAAGGTCTCCACCGTCCCTCCCAGCTGGCCCGCCTTCCGCACGGGTTTCCGCCTCCCTGTGACGTTAGGGCCTGCGGGGCTGTTCGCATCCCCTCTCTGCCCCGGCAGCCGCGTGGGGCCGCCATGTGGAGCGTGGGCGGGCACCATTGTCGCGCAGCCAGGCCTAGCGCAGCCCGCCACTCATAGGCTCTGCTTCCTCTGCCCAGGTCTCCCGCACCTCTGGCTGGGTGGCTGGCGCCTTGGCCTGAAGACCTCTAAGTTTCCTCCAGCTGCTTTCTCAGCCGCCCTGCAGGGCCCGAACCAGGGCGGCCAGAGGAGGGGACGGCAGGGTGGGCAGCACTGTTCAGTGTGCGGATTGGACCGCACACCCTGCCCACCGCCTCTCTGGGCGCACCGCGGCTTTCTCGCTCGGGACAACAGCACGAGGCGACCAGGTGCCCAGAGAGGAAAGGTCTCTGGAGCGGCTGGCACCCCAGACACAGGGAGGCGGGGCCGGCGCGTTAAAGTGACGAGACGGGCTTTGTTAACTCCGGCTCTGGACGCAGCGGAGCCGGGGTGAGGAGGCTCCAGCGAGAGCCTCGCGAGACCCGATCTGTTGCGGGTGGGTCTGTGCAGTAGCGACCCCTCCTCGCGAAGGCAGAGCTGGGGCGGTCCTCAGGCCCACCCCGCCTCCCAGCGGGAGGCACGAGGCAAGGACCGGCCGCGGGGTCTCAAGGGGAACTGGAGGAGGGAGGGGTCCGGGGGCAGAGGGCTGTTGGGGTGGGAAGGACGGAGGACGGGCCTGTAGGAACACCCTGGGGTGCGGGAGAGGACCGAGTGCCTGGAGGGGACCTGGACGGAGCTAGAGTTGGGACGGGCGGAGCTTGGAGGGACGGCTGGAGGAATTTGAGGCGGGCTAGGAGGGACGGGGGCGGGCCTGAGCGGGCAGGGCAGCCGGGGCTGAGCTGGTCGGACCCGTGGCTCACATGATGTCGTCCAGCAGGTTTGGCGCTGGCCCCCAGTCGAGCGCGCGCGGGCTCGGAGGCAGCCATGATCATGCACATGAAGGGGCGGCCGGTGCGCCGGTCAGTGGGGTAGATGGTGGTGGGCGTGAAGCGCCGGTTGGCCTCGACGACTCGCAGAGCTGCTCGTAGACGCGCGGAACTCGGGCGCAGGAAGACGCCGCGCAGCCGAGCTCGCGCTGGATGTGGATGAAAGCCACCTCGCGAGCGCGCCGGCCCGCCTCGCCTTCCTGGTCCAGGCGGCCGTGCCAGGCGGCGGAGTCAGGATCACGTCTCCATGTCGGGCCGCGGCCGCGCCGGAGCGGACGCGCCGGGCTGCCGGCCGCCAGTGCCACTTGGCGAACTTGCGCACCGTGGGCCCGGGAGCTGCGTGGCGCGGGCGCAGGCCGCGCGGGGGTCCCTGGGGCGCGGCGCCGGGAACCTCCCCCTACCGGCCATCCACACGCGCCTCCATGGCCGGCCCGTCCAGCGCCTCCAGGAAGTCGAAGCTTCGGCAGTGCCGCTTGTTGAAAGGCGCGGGCGCGGGCGCGGGCGCGGCGGGCCGGGCCACCGGCCGCTCACATGGCGGGCGCCTGGACGCGGGCCCCGGGGCCGCCACCTTGATGTCCTGGTACACGGTCGACACCAGCAGGTCCGGCGGGTCCGTACGGGTCATCTTAAAAGAGGTCCCCAGGCTGGCGGCTCCAGCTCACTCGGCCTTGCGGGGCTTTTGCCCTGGAGGGAGACGCGGGTCAGGGCGGCCCCCTCCGCAGCCCAGGCCCCGCTACTCTCGCGCGCTGGCCCGGCTTACCTGGGGCGCAGCGGGCGGAACAGCCCCGGCTGCCAGCCTTGGCCACGGTTTGGGGCGCTCGCTCCATGCCGGCGTCGGGAGCACCTGCGGGAGGAACCAGCTGTGCAGCCGCCGGGCCTGCCCCTCCCCCTCCCTCTCCCGGAGGCGGCGGCGGGGCTTGCGGCGTTCCTGCCCCCTTCAGCCCTGCGCGGAGGTCCCTGGTCTCCCTCCCGCACCGCACGAGTGACGGCGGGGCCGGCTCCGGGGCAGGAGAAGGGTCCTAGCACCGCGCCCTCTGCCGTCCGCGGCTGGAGTGACGGGGCGCGTTCGGGCACATCCACAGACCTGCCTGCGGAGCGGGCTCCACCAGTCCCCGCAGACCTAGGCCCCCCGGCCGGGTGTCCACTGCAGAGCGACCCCGCTGAGAGTGCATAGCCCGAGGGCGAGTCCCTGGGCCCTAGCCCCTCTGCACGAAGTGTCTGTCACAACCGTCCCACCTGCTGGCCAGGCTGAGCACAGATCCCCTGCCCCAGACCTGAGAAGGTGCTTGCACTCCAGAGTCCGCCGCATCCAGCCCAGTGTCAACTCCTGCTGTGGCCCAGGCCAGGGAAATGCCCCCAGACAGCATACCTGGGCCCTAAAGCTCCCTTTCCTTTCCAGATACCTCCTCTGACCCCAGCTATCTTGGGGTGCTTAAGACAAGGTCCAGAGAAAACTTTCCCCCAGCCTTGCACAAGCGCACAGGACACCCTCCGGAGGTGCACGCAGCCTGGGAGCCAGGCTCTGAGAGCCATGAGCTCATGGCGGCCTCTCTTCCCCGGAGGCGTGAACCAGGCCAGGAAGCAGCCCCCCCCTCCGCTTCACAGCAGAGGGCCCTCCCCACTGTGGCTCCGCAGGGCTCCTTGGAAACCCGTGGTTCTTCAGCCCCCACGCTGCAAGATGGGCCAGGGTTCACATGTGGACCACGGGCACCTCTGTGGTCCCCAGAGCCTGGGTCCTGCCGGTTGGGGAGGTGGGTGGTGGCAACGGCCCCCGGCCTTGTTGCACCCAGCACCTGGTCCAGAGGAGTCTGCCCCAAGGTGAGCTGGGGGCAAGAAGGGGGGTGGCCAGGCCCCTCACCTGGCAGGACCCCTAGTGGATGGGCCTCCCCCGGTCTGGATGGGTCAACCCTCTATGTCCCAGGTGTACAACCGGCTTCCTGCAGGGTTGCTTTTCTGGGTCAGGCCACTAAGTCCTGGTCCTTGTCCCCACCCCTGGCTCAGCCCCACCCAAGTCTCTACCCCGATGGCAGGACCATCCACCCTCCTGCTCTTTCGATCCTAAGCTCAAGGCCAGGCCAGAACCGGCTGGATGGCAGGGTGTGAGGCTCCACCCCGCGGAGGTGACAGCGGCCTTGCTGTCAGTGACATCCCCTCTCCGTGGGGGTGGGGGTGGGGTCGGCCTCCTCCGGGGCCCTAGGCGTTCCGGAACCCACGTGGAAGGCCGGGGGGCGTCCCCCTCCCCCAGCCCAGGCCTGGAACGGCCCTTCCAGGGACCCGCCGAGCCGCCTGGGGGCGGGGACTCCCCATCCTCTCGGAAGACACTAAGGCAGCCCCTGCCCATGAGAGCGACACGCTGGGCAGCTCTTCCCCCACCCCTTACCTGGGTGCTGCTCTGCCGACTGTGCCCCGGTGGGCTGTGCCACCCCCACGCCTGGTCTTGTGTCCCCGGCGCGGCGCCGCTGCGTCCCCGGCACCGGCAGAAGCTTCGAGGCAGCTGCGCCGGCCTGGCTGCTCAGTGCTGCCCCCAGTGGCAGCTAGGGGAGCCACACTTAAAGGGGCCGCGCCCGATGGGGGCTGTAGTGGGGCCGGGATATCGTGATCCTCACTGGCTCCGACTTGGTGCTGTGCAGTGCGGGGTCCCTGCGGCATCCCCAGCACAGATCTCAGGGTGCAAGCAAGGGACTCGAGCCCCAGGAGCAGCCTGCCAGTCCCCCAGCCCAGCCCCCAGGCTACCTGCCTGGGCAGCTGGCAGCCTGGCAGGGCACTGAAGGAGCCAAGCCCTGGCCTGGGCCCGCTGGGCTCAGGCAGGAGCAGATGGGCTACTCCCTGCCCACTGGCCTCTCCCCAGGCCCTATCCACTTCAGCACCAGAGATGCCAAAATCGTGTCAGGTACTTGGGGCCAGATGGCCCGAGTGGGGCCTGCAGACTCCTGTGTCCCCAGGAACCCAGCCCCTCCTGGGTGAAGCCAGCATGGGCTGTCATGTGGCCCACTCATAACCTGCCCAGAGACATCCTCGCCCCAACCCTGCCAGCCCCCTCCCCAAGGTGCTGGGCCTTGGCACAGCCCAGCTTGGCAGAGGGGCGATTGTCACAGATGCCCTTGCCCTGAAGGGGAGACCTGCCCCATGCTGCATCCCGTTCAATGCAGGGTCCACGGAGACCCTGGCACTGCTGCTCCCTGTGGGGTCCTGGGCAAGTTCACTTAATGTTGACCCCAAAAGGCAGCCCTGGGTGCACTGGCTGCAGACTGTAGACTGAAGGGTTTAGCCCCCAGCACCCGCCCAGGGGCACAGCTCCCCCAACACAGGAACCCAGGGGCAGACCTAGGAGGGAGGGGGCCCAGCAGCACCCCACGCCCCCTTCTCCTGGCAGCAGTGGCTGTGGGGCTGGTGGAACTGGGGGCTGGAGGGGGCAGGGGCCCAAGAGATGCAGGTGGCTGTCCAGGAGGCCCTGTAGCGTGCAGACAGGTGTCTTGAAGGGCTGGGCCCCCCGGGTGTGGCCACACTGCTCCACCCCCGACACCACGGGCTGGCTGTTGGCTGAGCTGGGGAACCTGAGGTAGGATCCTCCTCACACCATCAGGGGCCAGCGCTACTGGGCCACTTCCTGTCCCAGAGGCAACTGCCCCTTGGGTAAAAGGGCTTTGGCCTGAAGGGAGGGTGCTCAGGGCTTTTCTGCCAACCCCCTGCAACCTGGGCGAAGGGGGCTTGGGCCCGCAGGCGGCTCTGGAGCAGGCGCAGGCAGATGAACACACACACGCAGCGGTAAAACAGGAGAGCTTTATGGTCCGGGTGGAGTGTCTGAGCAGCACCCCAGCTCCCGCCTGTGGGCTCACCTGAGCAGGTGCCCACTGGGGCCACAGTGGGAAGACTGTCCCTGGAGGTACTCCCCCCAGGAGAGACCTCCGGCGACACTGTCTTGCCCGCCTCGCCCTCCCGTAGGGCTGCACACCTGTGCTCAGGGCCAGCCGGGGGCTGTCGGCAGCCTGAGCAGCGTGGCTGGAAGTGGGCTGCCGGCATGCTGAGGCCTGGGTGGGCGCGGGAGGGCAAGCAGCAGCGGGCGCTGGGTGGTGGGTGTCCGAGAAGCCAAGCGGCCCGGGCCCTGCCTCTGTAAACAGACCCTGGTGGGTCCCTCCTCCGCCTCAGTCAATTCCCTGAGAAATGCTGGGGACTGGCTGTGGCTCTGCCCCACGAGGGCCAGTCGTCCTGAGCCCGGCTGAGCTCAGCTGTCCCCTCCCTCCCTGCAGGGCAGGTGCACGCTGGCCCTGGAGGCCCAGCACCTGCAGCGCCCAGTCCAGGGGCCGCCGACCAGAGGCCGCCAGGCACAGGCCCCCCCAGGCGGCAGCGAGCACAGGGCAGTCGAAGGCCTAGAGCGCCTCGTAGTCCCCACCCCCAGGGTGGTGGCCGCCCAGGAAGGCCTCCAGCTCGTCCTCGGCCTTCTTCTCCCTGCTGCGGGGGGGCTTCCGCCTCCGCCGCCGCTCCTCCTTGTCCTTGTCCTCGTCCTTGTCCTTGCTCTTCTTGTGTCTGCTCTTCTTTCTCCCAGCCTTTTCTTCCTCCTGGGGTAGAAGGGTGTCACCTGGAGGCGGGGACCAGGGCCCTCTCCCAGGCACCGCCAGCCTGAGGGGGATACCTACCTCCTTGCCTTTCTTTTTCTTCTTCTTTTTCTCCTTGGAGGGCGGTCTGCCTTCCTTACCTGCACAGGTGACACGCACTTCAGTGCCCTGCGCAGCCTGAAGCTCGGGGCCTGCCGGTCCCCTGGTATAGCAGGCAGGACATGGTGTGAAGCTGGCCAGCATGTCACCCGTTTCGGGGCAAGGGGCCTACCTCCAGGCCACTGTCCCCTCCCACCTGCCTAGCATTGGGCAGGGACCAGGGTGGGGTCAGCTGTCCCTGGCCTCAGCTCTGCCCTGCACGGGTGGCTGGGGCACCCCAAATGCTGGTGACGATTCGCGGTGTGCAAATGCCCTCCCACTACGACACGCCTCTCCCTTTGAGGACAAGGATACTGCGGGATGAGTTCCTGGTTAAGCTGCTGGGCAGGACCAGGCTGGCTGGGGCACGGAGCCACGAGAGCGTGGCTGCAGCCACAGGCCACGCCAGCCTCCCGCACAGGAGGGCTGAACGTAGAGTAAAATGAGCTCCCCGGCAGCCACAGAGCACTGCCCAGGCCACGGAACGCCTCCCATGTGGACACGAAGCCAGGCCCACCCCCCTCGCCGGGGTTGTTGTAGTTGACATGGGCACCTGGGATGCGGAAGCTCAAACTATTGGGCGCACGGGGGACCCCAGACAGTGATAGGACTTGTCCAGAAACTCACAGACCAGTCAGCCCTGGCCCTCCAGGAGGGGCCTTGAACCACGCCGCAGACACCAGACAGAGCTAGACTCGGGGCCACCCAGGTCCTGGGCAAAGCCAGGAAGCCCGACACAGCCCCTCTGCCTCCAGACGCCCACGGTCAGCAGATGGGAAAAGGTGTCTGGCTGGGCTTTCTTTTCTGAAGGCAGGTTCCTGGGCCACCACAGGGCAAGGACCAAGGGACAAAGTCCCCCCCAGGCTCCAGAAGGTGGGGCATATGCCCCCGGGGCCCACCCACCCTCTTCGCTGCTGTCCTTGGGGACGGCCTCCAGCTCCAGCCCGAAGAGATCCGCCTCGTTCTTCGGCCTGAAGGTGAGGGCAGGGGGCTTGGGGGGCGGGGGTGGCTGGGCAGGGCCCTCGTCCTCAGTCGTGTCGGAGAGGTCGTCTCGCACGGGGAACTCCGCCTGGAGAGCGAGTGCCTGGTCAGGCCACTGTCACTCCCACCCCATGGGGCCGAGGCTGTAGGACCCCCAGACCCAACCCAGCGTTAGTGTCCAGCGAGGCCTGAGCGTGGTGACACGGGACACTGCTCCCACCAGCTTCCTGTCCACTCCCCAGCCCAGCTCGGGGCCGTCCCCAGCCTACCCGCAGACTCCGCCCCAGAGCCCCTCACCCTCCTGGTCGGTGGTGCACTCACCCCCTTCCGCTGCGTGTCCGACTCTTCGCTCTCGAAGTCGGGGTCGTCCAGGACAAAGGACAGCATCTGTGCAGCAATGGGCCCCTCGGGGTCACTCTCTGACGAGGACGCCTGCTGGGCCTTGCCTTCCTCCGGCCCACGGGAGGAGCCCTCAGCGGGGGGCCTGGTGCTGCTGCGCTTCTCAGGACCCGTGCGCATGGGGGGGCCTCCCGGCTGGGGGGGCACCTCAGCCTTTGGGGGTGCTGCCCCCTTCTGTGGCCTCGAGGCCTTGGCGGAGGACCTTGAGGAAGAAGCAGAAGGGTCAGGTACCGAGGCCACCTCCTGGCCACACCCTTGAGGACCCCGCCCATACCGTTGTGTCTCTGGCTCTGAGCAGTGCTGGGGGGCCGAGGCAGCAACGCCGGGGAAGTCTGGCGCCTCTGCTTCCTCCTCGCTGGAGAGAGTGACGTTTTTACTGGGGACAGGGCCTGAGGCCAGCAGGGGTTTGCCACGTGGCTGGTCTTCCAAGTCCACGTCGTCCTGGAAACCTGCCACCATGGGGTTCCCTCCCACGGCCTCTCCGTCACTGCAAAGGAGCAGGCAGTCAGGTCATGAGGTGGGGTCTGGTGGCTGGGCCCCTACCCCATCTCTTGGCACCTCTGGTATCCAACATGCCCTGGCCTTGGGGCAGCCCTGCCTGGGTCCGTGTTCTGGTGGGGAGACCTACTTTTGCTCTCATAGGGCTCCTGAGCAGAGCAGCTGGACAGACAATGGTGCCTGCTGCTGGTCCGTGGGTGGGAGGGGGTATGGACAGTGCCCTGGGAAGGGTCAGCAGCCCAAGGGGAAGGGCACAGCCCTGGCACCTGTGGCAGGAATTGAGGCCTGGGGGCTCTTCCTCCATGCAGCCCAGTCTGGGCCACCGGGAGACAGCATCTCGTGGCCTGGCGCTCTGCACGGGGGCCTCCTGGGAGCCCAGAGCAGCCCTGCCTATGCCCCAACGTGGAGTTGGCCCAAGGCCGCTCCCAGGGCACTTGCAAGGGCCCAGGCCTGTGCTAGGAGGTCCACCAGCCCCATCCCAGACCTGTCACTGTCCTGCCGCGGGGCCTTGGCTCCAGCTCCCTTCTCGTCCTTCAAGGGGGCTGTGTCCTCCAGGAAGCTGCGGTCCAGGCGGTCGTCAGGAACAAAGTCCTCCACGTTCTGGACCTCAGTGGGGGCCTCGGCCACAGGGGCTGGCTCTGTGAACAGCAGGCACTGGCATGTGACCCTTTAGGGTCCCCCAGGCCAGGGCCACCCTAGGGCTGAGCAGGCAGGACTGGGATCCTGGGACCGGGGGTGGGGGCGAGGGGCATGTGCCCCACCCAGGAGGTGGGAGAGGGGAGCTTTCCGGGGACCCGGGGCCACACTGCAGTGTGAGGGCACAGGGCCCAGTGTGGAGCTATGGCCAGGGAGCCACTGCACAAGCCCACCTTGAGGGGCTGCCCTGGGGCCCACCTGGAGGGGCAGGTGCCGTAGGGGCAGCAGGCAAGGCCCCGAACAGCCGAGAGATGATGCTGCGCCTCGGGGCTGGAGCGGGGGCCTCCAAGGGGGCCGCAGGGGCTGGCGGGGCTGGGCAGGCTGTGGGGGCGTCTGTGGGCAGCTGTGGAGCGGGCTGGGGTGTGCTGGGGCTGGAGCTCCCCGTGGACATGGCACTCAGAGGCACGACCGGTGACTGAGAGCCTGAGGACGGGCTCTGCCCGTTGGCTGCCAGCGGGGACGTGTGGCCACGGCTCCGAGCCTCCATCATCTCGAGAAAGCTGGAGGGGAAGGCAGGGAGTGAGAAGCGGCCACCCCCTGCCTCTCCCCAGGGGCTCCGGCACACCCTGGTGGGACACAAAGTAACTCCTGACTGTTGGCAACACTGAACGAGGGTCTTAAGGGCAGGAAACAACAGTGTGACAGAGACAGATGACCACCTAGGGCGTCTGGCTCCCTGCAACATCCTCCAGATTTATTTGCTAGGTTTCCTTGTCCGAGGCACAACCTGCAGGGACTCCCCGCAGGAGGCTGCCGAGTGGTAATGGTGGGCCTGGCTGCCCGAGCAAAGGGACCTCCTGAGAAGAGCAGACAGAGAGTGGGGCTTGGTGGACACCTGCCCAGGTCACTGTGCTGCTGACCCCTGCCCTGTCCCAGGCTGCTTGCCCAGCTCTCCATCAGAGGAAACACCAGGTTGGTTAACAGAGAAGCACCTGGGTGGGCACTGGTTCCCTTTGGGGCCAGCCTGGCAGCCAGGTGCGCGAAGGCCACCACTGCTGTCTCGGCACCCAGCTGCCTTCCTGGCTGCAACTCCTGTGTCCAGAGCCAACAGCCAAGGCTGGCTCCATGGAGACCCCCAAGGGTCTCCTCCTGGTGACAAGCCTGCTGGGGGCCTTGGGAGGGCCACCCCGGCCACTGGTGCCATGCTCCTGTCTGGGTCCTGGGGGAGGTGCGGCCCCAGCTCATGGGCACACACAGCCCCTCCGGCCCCTTCGCCAGGCCCCCAAGTCAGGTTCAGGGCTGCAGCTTCCCTGGAAGAGGAAGTGCCTCTGAGGAACCAGAGGGTGACAGGCCGGGCCACTGACCCACAGCCCCCAGGGCAGCCTGCGCTGCCCGCGCACACTCAGGAAGATGCTAAGCTGCCCTCTGCTCAGCTCACGGAGGGTCCACGTCCCGCCCCATGTGCCTCTAGCCCAAGGGGCCTGTGAGTCGAGGAGCTCTCAGAAGCCTGACTCCACGCTGGTGCCAATCTGCAAACCCAAGTCCCCTAACAGGGAACGTGGCCACAGCCAGGATGCACCAGGACCAGCCAGTCTGGCCACCCTGTCAGCAGTGCCGGTGCCACACACATAAGAACCAGCAGGTGTGGCTCATTCTGCGTGAGGCAAGTCGAGTCAGGAGTCCACACAAAAAGCAGCCTGGCCACACTGTTGTGCTGGCCAGCAGCGCAGCACCTGGGAAGTCCTGCCAGGCCTA